TGAGAAGAGCTCCCCATGGGACAAGGGAAATGGGACATCCAAGGGGTTTATTGGACCCCCTGGACCCCAGCTCGATGTCTCCGTGCCCATTTCTCTTCTCTTTTTTCTTTTTTCCAGTATGCACACAACTTTTAGTTTCCCGACCCGACGAAGAGAATATAAGTTCCTATTTACAGCTCATAGACAAATGTCTAATCCATGAGGTGAGTTGTGACAGAGCATCTAAGGCTGTTGTTCTCATCACTTAGAAACTGTTTCCAAAGTGTCTGTTTATGTAAACCTTTCCGGTTTCTAACACAAACATTTTTGGGGGGTATTAATAGTAATTCTGACAGAAGAGGGCTGGAGCAGGCAGTAGCTCCAATCGGTGCACAGAAATGGTGCTCCCACTCCACGCTCGCTTTGCTGCCAAGACCCGGAGCTGGGAAATTCATCTGGCTCAAGGTGGCCCGATCGGCAGCTGGAGGAGGGGAAAAGCCCTGGGATGAATGTGCAGGCGGTTTCCATCAGCCAGACCCAGCAATCCTCCCATTTCACAGGACGTGGCCTTGGGGTTTTGCAACGGGGGCATCTGTTTCGGTTGCCATGATTTGGGATGGCCGAGGCTGTGTTGCATGGCTCCAGTACGCTCCTGCCTACTGCCATGGCGAGATGCCCGGGGCGAAATTGGGATGAAATAGTTGGATACCAGGCAAAACACAATTGCTTCATGCTGGTTTTTTTGAACTGTGCTCCCGGACGCCCCTGTCGATCACAGTGAGGATTTGGGGGCATTTTGCTGGCAGCACCTGTAGTGTCAGCCTGCGTTTGGCCATGTGCAATGGGATGGTGGCACCCGCTGTTCGGGTTTGCTCCTCAAAGGGTTTAGAGCCATGCGTGCGGTCATTTTGGGGCTTTACACAGGCAGTGGCAAAGAGCTGGAGGGGAGAGCAGGTCTGCAAAGCCAGGGAGATGCGGAGCTGCAGAGGGACTCATTCTCCATGAGGACTCAGTATGGATGTGGTGACACAGCATCACCCCACCGGTGCCAGCCTGGACCCCCCCGTCTGCGTTGGCTCTGGTGTAATCAGCACCAGGAGTGAGCATCTCCTGCGAAGGGTGGTTTGGAGCAATCAAGTCAGACGCTAATTAGCCTCCAAATTGTCCTCCAGAGACCTCCGCTGGCAATGCGGAGATGTTGGGTGTCTAAAGTTAGCGGTGACGGCCACGTGGGTGTCCCCGTAACCCACACCGCCTGCCTGCAGGTCTGGGACGTTTCGGGATGAGGTCTGTCCGCTGCGTGGGTGACCTTCACCAGGAGCCTGGGCGGGTGATGGGCTCACCTCGGGTCACCCCCCTTGGGGGCTGCGGGTACCGAGCTCTGCCCAGCCCTAAGGAGGATACGGGATGCCGCGGAGCAGCTCTGCTTCCCAAATCCTAGCATTTCCCAACCCCAGCAGTGATTTCTAGAGCCCCACTGCCCAGGGGGTTTGGCAGCCTGTGGGGCAGAGCTTGGCCATCACTTTGGGGCACAGGGGATGCATTTTCTTGACCTGAGATGAGTCTGGTCTCCCTCTGGTTTCCCTCTGGACCCACTCACCTCATGCCACCATCTGCTCCGGCTGCTTTTCTTTACCTGAACACCCACACACGCATCCCTGCTCACTTTGTCCAGAAAAATATTCATACGTATCCTATTTTTCTCTCTTTTTTTATTCGGGGGCAGGCGTTTACAGAGATCCAGAAGAAGCGGCTGCTGTCATGGAAACAGCAGGTGCAGAAACTCTTTCGGTCTTTCCCTCGGAAATCCCTCTTGGAGCTGTCAGGCTATCGGCAGCAGAGGAGGTACACGGGATTTCAGGAGGGGAGGGATGGATGCAGCGGCCTGCGAGAGCATCCCCAGTGGGACCAGTGTCTCCCAACAGGGAGGGACATTTCCAGCTGGGTTCAGAGCCGCGTTTCGGGAGGGACGAGGGTTGGAAAAGCTTTGCAATAAAACCCCAGGCGTTGGCTGGGCAGGCAGCAGTGAATTTGCTCGAGGACGTGAATACCGGCTCTGCCCCTGCCGCTGCCCTTTGCTGGTGATGTCAGTGCTGGAGTTGCACCAAAAAGCCGTCAACTGGCAGAAAAAAGGGTGCAGAGGCGGGGGGCTGCGGTGGGAGGGCCTGGGTGGGGATGTGTTGCGAACGCTGTGTTTGCTCACTTCCATGGCGATGCTGGATTTCGGGTGATCCTAGAAAGCGCTGGGGTTATGGCACGAACAGATATTTTTAGAGCTTTTTTAACAACGGCGTCAGCCTTTTGTTTCATTCTGCCCGGGCTGTTTTTATTGAACTCTTGTGCAAGTTATTTTTTTAATGAAAAAGAAAGGGATTTGGAGATAACTGGGAGCACTGGGACAGCCGAGATGTGAGTTCAGAAGGAAGGAGCACAGAACTGGAGTGTTCCCCAGTGGAATTAAGTATTTTGGAATAGAAAACCAAGCGCAGGATCAGCTCCCTCTGCCCACAGGGAGGTGGGTGAAGGTGTGGGTGCAGACGCAGTCCCATGTCTGCAGAAACCCTCAGTGCCTCCCTAGGACATTTTGGACGTGTTAGGTCATTTTAGCCAAGTTTTACAGAACTTGAGAAGTCTCAGAGAGGACCATGTTCATAAAAATGAACCTCCTTGGAGGGGAGAAGGTCCAACCCTTTGACTATTCCCAGTAAAGAAAACCCAGCAGCGTGAGCTGAACCTTTATCAGACAGTGGGGAATCTACACAGGAGCGATCTCTCTTGTACAGCAAAAATGCATGAGGATTTTAAGTCCAAACCCAAGAAACCGGCCACCACTAGCTGCAGTGCCTGGGGAATTAACTCCATTATTTTAGCTTGCATTTAAGAACAGGCCCATTTTGCAGCCGTAAAATAAACCTTAAACAAAAATAACAGCTCGCCCCCGCAGCACTGTCTCCTCGCAGGAGCCAATCTCTCACCCGCGGCCTTTCCTCTCTCCGCAGCCGAGGCTTTGGCCAGTCCAACTCCTTACCGACAGCCGGATCCGCAGGGGCAGGACTGGGCCGGCGAAACCCTCGCCAGTTCCAGATCCCCTCCCGCAACCTCCCCACCACCCGCCTGGGGCTGCTGGGGCCCACTGGGCTGCTGGGCACCCCCCAGCGCAGCCCCGCCGCCAGCCCCGCCATCCTCAAGCAAGGCAGACAGGTTGGTCAGCATTCGCGGCACCTCCAGCTTCTCCATCCCTTCCCCACAGATTTCCGTTGCTTTTCCTGCTCTGACTTGTCCGGATTCCCATTTTTTCCCCCCTTTTCAAGCAAGCAGGCGTTTGAGTCGTACTCTTCTCCATATGGTGGGATGCAGGAGCGGGACTGATGAGATGGGGACAAGTAAAGAGATGAAGAGGGCAGGGATGAGCCCGAAGGGGTTGTAATAAGACAGTACAGAGGCCTCAATTTTACGTCCTCACCCCTATTTTGTTTGCTTCTCACAGAACCTCTGGTTTGCCAACCCCGGCGGCAGCAACAGCATGCCCAGCCGCAGCCACAGCTCGGTGCAGAGGACGCGCTCGCTGCCGGTCCACACCTCCCCGCAGACCATGCTGATGTTTCAGCAGCCAGGTAGGAAGCAGGCGTTGGCGTTTCGGCTTATCCGCAGCCAGGTGAGGTGAGGAGAGGCTGCGTGAAAGGAGCCGTGCGCTTGTAGCCACAGCCCAAGCTGGGTATCTATGACACCAGTCCAGTTGCTGGGTTGATTCAACCAGAGACATCACCTGAGGGATTTCTGACCTTATTTATAACATCTTGTCCCATATATAACTCTGCTGGTGCCTGACCTTCCGAGGGGCTTCAGGTGGGGAAGGCAGGAGATCTTCCATCACCTTTTTTGCCCGTGCATGGACACAGAGACCCAATGTGAAGGGACTGCCTTTGTGCACTTAAGGGAAATTCATTTCACCACAGAAATGCTCCCCTATTTTATATATAAATATTCCATGTCCAGTTCTGGGCTCCCCAGTTCAAAAAAGACAAGGAACAACTGGAGAGAGCCCAGCGTGAAGCCACTGAGATGATGGGGGGGACTGAAGCATCTCCCATAGGAGGAAAGGTTGAGAGAGCTGGGGCTGTGCAGCCTGGAGAAGAGGAGACTGAGGGGGGGTCATTAATGCTCATCAATATCTCAAGGGCGGCTGTTAGAAGGATGGGACCAGACTCTGCTGGGTTGTGCCCAGCGACAGCACAAGAGGCAATGGTCACAAACTGGAACACGGGAGGTTCGACCTCAACATAAGGAAAAACTTCATTACTGAGGGTACCAGAGCATGGCCCAGGCTGCCCAGAGAGGTGTGGAGTCTCCTTCTCTGGAGACACCCAAACCCCTGGACATGTTCCTGTGTGATCTGCTCTGGGTGACCCTGCTCTAGCTGGGGTTGGACTGGGTGATGTCCAGAGGTCCCTTCCCACCCCCACCATGCTGTGACTCTGATACAGGAGCATCCTCTGCTTGAAGGGGGTTGCTGCTGAACTTGGACCCTGAACCTGTAGCATCCTTCCCATGAGGACATGCACACCTTTTTCTCTGTTTCCCTTCATTTCCCTTTCAGCATGCCTTTTCTTACCATAACAATTTATATCGCAGGATGGGGTATTACACCCCTACCCAGTAAACTAAACCTCATCCATAAGCTTCTGCCGTGGTTTCAGCTTCGCAGCTTCCCTCGCACCACGTCCCTGCGGTGTTTTAACTGCATCCTTTAGGCAGCAAATGGCCCGCATGGCAAAAGCAGCGCCTGTCCTCAGGTATTGATTAAACACCGGGACAAGGGCACATTTCTGCAGGCGCCAAAGGAGAATAAATAGGGGGTTTTTTTTAGCCTGTGGTGAATAAGGGCATAGGAAGATTAGGGAGCAAAGATGTGGACCAAATTGCAAGGAAAATAAGCAATAAGGTGGTGCTGGGCTCCCAAGCCTCTTTTTGTAAGGGGCCTCAACTCCACTGGACCTCATCCCATGTCCCCATGAGCTGGTGGCAAACAGGAGATGCCACCACCAGTAGCAAAACCTGCATTTGCAAAGCTTTTTGCTGCAAAGGGGAGGGCATTTTGGTGTTGTATGGATCAGACCAGGGCGTTGCAGCACACCAGACCTCATCTCTCTCTGTTCATGTGCTCATTGCCCCGGGGACGTGGCAGTGGGGATGTTGGTGACTGAGCGGCGGCTGAGCTGAAAAGCCGGAGGGCGGCTGTGCCGGTCTGTGCTGCCATCCCACGTCTGAGCACTATCCCTGCCTGCACGCTGCCTGCATGGGCAGCTCCCGGCCCCGCTTGAACCTTTTACATTTATTGAGGATTTTTGCAGGGCCTGAGCAATGGGAGAGCCCGGGACTGACCCCCCCCAGGGCAGGGGGGTCCTGCTTTCACCCCAGCTCCTGCCCAGCATCTCTAACCAGCACCTGAACCCCTTAATTCCATCCACCCTCTGCTGCAATCCTGTTGAGTCTCCCCAGATTTCCCCATTCCCAGTAAGAAATGGGAGCAATGATTATTTTTTATGACTATTCTTGCCAGTATCTCTTGCCAGAGGCAGCTGCACAGGGAAGATGCCCTCCTGAGGCATCTTTTGGGTAACTTCCTACCCCACTCCCACTCCGGCAGCAGCAGAGCAGGCACAGAAGGTGCAAGGCTGGCACCAGGGTCCCCTGACAGAGGCCTCCTATCCCTTTTTGTCCCCGCAGAGTTCCAGGTACCAGTGACTGAACCTGACATCAACAACAGGCTGGAGTCCCTGTGCCTGAGCATGACGGAGCATGCACTCAGCGGTGAGCACTCCCTCCTCCTCGGGCTTTTCCAGCACATCCACACCGCTGAGCCCCCCTGCCCTGCGGCCCCCAAAACCTGGGACAGGCTGTGGCTGTGAGGGATGGCAGGGCTGGATGTGGGGATGCTCCCAATGGGATCGGTTTGGGACATGGGCTTCTCTCAGCAAGGTAGCTGGGGAGGCAAGGAGTGAAACCAAACACAGGGATTGCACCCAGCACTAGTGGAGTCTGTGCTTATTAGCCACTAATTAGCTTGCTAATAATAATTAGTATTAGTTCTCGATAAAGCCCTTGCCACTGGTACGCTCAAATGGTTCACAGGCTGCTGAGTATTTTACCCTTCTGCTACCGCCATCCCTTGTTCGGCTGGGGGGGGTGCGGGAGCCCCAAGGTATGGGGGTAAAACCCTGTGCCGGTGGCTGGGGCAGCAGCGGGTGCCAACGCGGGTGGGCAGATCATGGGCATGGGGAGGGAGGACATAAAACAGGCAGGAAAGGTGGCAAAAGCAGCAGCAGCGTGATGGAGAGCCCAGTGTGGGGAAAAAA